ATGAGTTTATCATTGATATACAATAGTATATTATTGACAAATATAATAAATTGACCATAATATAAAATATAATAAATGTTGGGTTGTTTGTTTGATTTGGTCTTATAACATGAGTTATATATGTAAAATCTCATATATTTTAATATTTTTTAATATGTTCTTTCGTTGTGAGCTTTTTAATATGTTCTTATTAAATATTAGTATAAGTTGTCTTCTTTAAATGAGACTTCTATAGAATTAAAAATAAGAGTACACTTATTCACCAAAAAAAAAAGAGTATACTTGAGAAATTGCAATTGATAATTCTTAAATTTTTAAAATAAGAAATAAACAAAAACAATTGTCTTTTTCAAAAGTGACCACAACAAGAAATGAAAGAAGTGCTCATCATAGAAGAAAAGAAAAGGAAGTGTTATTGCAAGGTGTTTTTGAACATATATAAGACCAACAACCATGGTTTTCCTCATTTTTATTTATAAGTAAAATTCTAAATTTTTAAAAATATTTATATCAAATTTTTTAAATTGTTCCTCATAAACATTTATTTTTTAAATAAATATGTTTCATTAACTACAGAAATAATTTAATTCAGCTTTTAAATTTTTAAATATAATTATTACACTTGATCGATGTTTTTGAATATTCACAACGGGGGAGGCCAGCTATAATGGCCAATAGATGGAGTTGGGACTACATTCAACGATCCCATTCATTACCATTCATATAGGCAACCTTCACATTTTTCTTTTAATTATATAAAATAATATTCTTTTTATAATATATAATTTTTTAAAAAGATGATTTAATACCGTATTTAACTTATGAATAGCATTACAGTTGGAGGCGCTTGATTTATAGTGGGCGTCCCATTTTGATATTTTGTGACAATTGAAATTTAAGTTTGACTTTTACATATTTAATTAAATTCTTTTTTATACACTATATTTAATTAAATTATTCTGCTATGCATATGTGTGGTTACTGTGTTAGTTTTGATTAAAAAAAATAACACAATATATATTATACCCTCTCTTGAAAAATATAAAACATTTTGTGGGGTTTGATATTAAAAAATATAAGATATTTTTAGTATTTTAAGATATAATTAATATATTTTTTTAAAATTACCCATAATAAATAAATTATTTTATATTTATTTTAAAGTAAAACATCCTATTAAATAAAATAAATATAAAAATGATATTAGTTTGAAGATAATTAACTATTTTATTGAGAATTAGATTCGATAAAATGTTTTATATTTTTTAACAGAAAAAATAAATATTATTAGCGTGGTTCATTACAAGGAGGGCATGCACAAATTGAAAGATGATTAAAAAATGTGAAAATTAATCAATTAGTCATTGAAATTTTAATTCAGTTATAATTAATGTTTAAATTTTAATTCATTATAACTTTATTTTTATAGTTTCAACTTGATTCTAACTCGATCATTTAACTTTGACTCTTATAATTTAATTTTTATAATTTTTATCATTTAAAATATTGGTCTCTATTTAAAAAAAATTATAAATATTAAAACTATTTTAAAATTTTGATCTTTGTAAATTATGTTAAAATTTAGGAATAATATTTTATAAATATTAAAATTTTAATATTTATAAATATTATAAAGATCAAAATTTTAAAATAGTTTTAATTTTTATAATTTCATTTTTAAAAATAGAGACCAATATTAAATGGTTACAATTATAGAAACTACTAAGTTATAACAATCAAACTTAAAAAATTGAGTTACAATCAAGTTAAAACTATAAAAATATATTATAACAAGTTAAAATTTAAATATTGAGTTAAAATTACTGCTTCCGTCCTTATAAATAAGAGGTTTTTAAAAAAATTTCTCATTAATTTACTTTAAAAAAGATATTTATTTTTTATTTACAATAATTGGGGGTAAAATTAAAATATTACTATGCTTAAAATTAAATAATTAATTTTTATTAGTTTGCATAATTTAGTTAAAAATATCTTACATGTAAGGACGGAGAGAATAAGTCATAAGGACTAAATAATTGATTTTCTCTTTAAAATTAAAAACCATGAATTCCAACTCCAAAATGTTCAATTAGTCCTTTTTATAAATCATTTCTATCAACATTATTAATATCAATGCAAAAAGAGTACAAGGAATAAAAGAGTGTAAGATTTTAAATATGTTCCTATATAATAAATTTAAAAAGTGATATCATGTTATTTTTTTCTCTCTCTCATGAAGGATAATTTTTGAAATACTTTTTAAATATTATCTAAAAAGTTGCACGTGACTTATAAAATGAAGCTTTTAAAACGTACTCCCTCCGTCTTAAATTATAATACACTTTTAAAAAAATTCAGCATTCTAAAATATAAGATATTTGATAAAAATAAGATTTTATTAATGATACTTTTTTAATATTACCCTTACCATATATTCTTTTTCTTTAATATTTTTTTTAATGAAGTATTAAATGAAGTATATTTTTAAAAGTTTATATTTTTATCTTGACAAAATAAAATTATAAAATATATTTAATAAATTTATTAATATATAAAATTTTATTTAAAATATCCTATAATTTAAATTGCAGGGAATTTAGAAAAAGTATATTTCATAATGTGGGTGTATTATTCTATTGTTATTATTGCAATCCGTGCATTCACATGCGCCGGTTGCATGGGTGGAAGATGTCAGCCGAAGATAATTTTGGAAAATTGTACCCAAGCATTTAAAAAAAAATATTATTATCAAAGATTAAAATTATCGCCAAGTGTCAAGTCTGATGGATTTCAGTATTAATTTTTTAGAAAAGAATATTGTTGAATTTCTGAAGAATTATTATAAAATTACTTAAAATTAAAGAATTTTAAAAATTACTAGTAACTGTCTTAAAAATTGATGATGAATATCTCATAAAATTTGATAATGATATTAGTTTTCAAAAATTTATTATGTTTCTATAAATTAATATTTTTAAAAAACAATCTAAGTATAATGTTATCAAATAAAAATGGCGAGTACTACTGACACTACAGGCATTGGTCTTAGTGAAAGAAGACAGAGACACGAAATTATGGCTATTTAAACGCATTTTTGAATTTAAATTTGTGTAAAACAAAAAATTCGTTGTCCGACTTCTAGAGAGTTGTAGGCACCACATCCACACATAAAAATAGTAAGCACCACTGTGGCGGGGGACCAACTCTTTTTGGTCGTTTAAGTTAGAAGGATTGGTTGAGAAGCATTCAAGTTTATAAATACAAACGACATCAACTGAGCTATCATGTGATTGTGAAATATTCTGTGAACAAGGAAGAAACAAAAACGTTTAGTACAAGAACTTTAGCTGTATGGGATGGCTCAAAAACTTTAGCGTAAATTATTTCTTTTTTTTTTTAATGTCCAAATCTATTTTTATTTTTTTCGGGGTCAGGATTGGTTGAATTGAACACCGTGCGATTCCGTGGGACTTTTTGCCCTGCTTGATATTATTTAGGATAAAATATTTTTTAAATGAAGCGCCTAGGCTATTTTTGTTTTTATCAGAATTCTAATTTTGTCCTCGAGCAAGTAGTTGGTTTCTAGAACCAATTATTTGAGCCAAACCCACGGGTAAGCTTAAATTCATTTAAAAAATTTAGAGCTGAGTCCAAACCGCGAAAAAATGGGCTTGGGCCAAAGACTTAAATAAAAAAATATAAAATATAATAAATATTTATTAATTTTTTAAGTTTTATATCATTTTACACTAAAATGCTATATATTAAAGTCTATTATTATAGTTATTTTTAAAAAAATTAAAAAAATTTATATTTTTATTATTTTTAACTAATGAAATATCTCAAAATATTATTCAAAATATATTTTAATATTGATTTTATAATTTAAGAGCCAATTTGTTTTAAAAAAAAGTTTTGAGTACATCATTTGAATATCCAAAAAAAATATTTTATATTTTTGTAAAATAAGATAATTAATTTTAAAGTAAAAATAATTTTAAAAATAAAATTCAGATACATACAAATTTTTGACTCTACTATTAGATAAACATAATAAATAGAATAATATTCTTGGATAATCATTTGATTATTGTCCATACTAGACTTGATTAAAAAATAAGAATAAATTAAAGTAAAAATCCTTTGTATGTAACGGTTAAACAATATAAAAAGTTGAAAAAAATAATTCTCAAAAAAATAATATTTTACTCATAATTAAATAATTTTTTTATATAATATAATTATGACTATTTTTCTTATATTTTTAAAAAATAAAAAGTATAGTTTATCTAAAAGTTATAAAAATCTTTAAATTAATCAAACAATAATTTTAAATTAATAATCTAACTGATTGAATTGAGATCAATTTTATCATAATTAAAATAATATAATTTAATTAAAATATATAAAATATTTATATATGACCACAATAAGAGTAATATTTAAACAATTAAGACATTAATTTACAAGTAAAGAAAATATTCATGAAACAATTACATATAATACAACAAAATAGTAATAGGGTTCTTTAATATAAAGTTAATAAATTACTATTTTTTATTTTACTCTTTTGAAATTAAAATGATATTTTATGCTTAATAAAATTATTTAAAAATTAAAATTAATTTAAAAAATAAAAAAAAATTTTAAAATGTTTCAGATATTTGAGCTGGCCTGAATAAGCCGAAAGCTGAGGATGTTAAGGCTGAACTTGACTATATAAACTTTTTAAAAAGAGTATGATATTTTAAGCTCGATCTAAATAAACTTCACCCATCTGAATTACAGGCCCTACTTGTTTCAAACCATTCAAATATTGACCCAAAAAGCATGTACACAGCTCCATGATATGATATGTTATGATATTTTATCTCTTAAAAAAAAAAAGTCATTTCAACAAAATAAAACTTGTTTAGATGCTATAGTACAAAAGAAGGCTTGTGGAAGTAGAAGAAGATACTAATTTGACAATGCTACACTAAAAGCACAGCACTTGTAGATTGTACAGTCATCAAATTGGTTCTCAGCTTTATTTATACCCACAGGATAAATGTGAATCCACGACTTCTAAAAATTGCAAACATTACAACTAGCAGAGCCACTAAAGTTCTTGAATGATTTTAAAAATCCAATCATATGGTCATAAATATCTCTTTTAGCGTTTAGACTCAAAATAAAGTCAACATGACCATAATCTTCAAGAAAAAGAAGCTCTGGTGTGGATGGCAATTCCTTCAGAGTGTGAGCAAAATCAATCCTATCTGCCAAAGCATCATTTCCCCCATAAGCCATCCATAGAGGCAATGATTTGGGTATGTTGCCAAGATTGAATTCTGGAGGTTTCAACTGGCCATACACTCTTAGATTTTTTAGGATTCCATAATCATACTGAGCGAAAGTACCTTTACGGATCACTGGTAAACAAATATAGGTCATTAGATTTGAGACACTGTTGATTTAGTTCAATAGTGAATAGGATATTCAAGCCGATCGTGAACATAACATAAGAATTCAATTGTGAACAGGTCAGAAGTGTTCAGATCACTTCTATCAGATTATACAGAGAACATTTATTTCAGCAATCCAAACCCAAAATGGACTTTTCGCATTTTCAGAAAGAAGTTAGAAGACTCATGGTGAAGCCATAATTTGATTAAAAAAAAAAAAGATTTCAGATTCCATTAGCTGGTTCATTACCAATCATGCAAATTATGAAATTGGCTAATTAACCACTGTTCAGAAGCGATCTTTGTTTGACAGCACAAAGAATCGGTAAGCCATAGAATTATGATAAGAAAACAATCTTCACAATCGGCTTGCCAATTTCTAATTACGGACAGTACAGTCAGTAAAGGAAATATTCTAGTCCAATTCAAATTCGTACATCAGAAATAAGAAATAGAGAACGTCCTCAATTGGGTCACAGCGTCCATGAATCAATAGATGAACAGAAATCAGAAACAAACAACAATACAACAACTCCCTGTCCCACTAAGTGGGGACAGCAACATGAATTATATAATGCTATTGTGCTCTATCATTTATTAAACTTTTAGAAATATTGTTAATTGAGATAATAAAATAATTTTAATTATATGAGAACTAAAAACCAAGAATAGAAGTAGACATGCAAACAAACTAATCTCTCTGACGTGATCAATATTATTTTTAAACCTATAAGATTTCTACCATCTCTAGCCTGTACAGAGGCTAGTTTATCCACTTGATTCACATCATGTAAATACTTGAGAGCAGATATCCCCTAATGTGAATATGATTATGTGAAAATATTGAGATAATACCTTGTAGTAATTGGTAAGAAAAAGAGAAACAGAATTAGAATGTGATTGACAGTTTAACAGATGTTTAAAACCAGAGCCGCACATATTTTTAACAGTCATAACATAATTGTCATAGGAGTGAAAGTAGATGGAGCTTACTCTGGAACAGATGGCGCAGGTTTTTTGAGGATGATGGGTGAGGTTCATATTGCAGATAAAAATCCACACGTGAATTATTGAAGCAGCAATTCTTCCCTGTAATTTTATTCAAGCAAAATTAATAAATTAGAAAAAAAAAAAAGCTATGATTGCAAAATTTCACACACTGCTTTATGGTTAGAAATCAGAAATCCCAGTTGTAAAATAAAATTTTGAGGCCAAGCAAAGAACATCAACCAGTAATTCCCTTCACTGTAGAAGATACACAATGCATATAAAAGGTTGGTGACCAACTCATTGTCCAATATTGACATTCATGTTTTAAATTAATCAATCACTGAGACTCGGTAGTAGTAACTATCATGCTTTTTAGAGTCATTACAGATCAACTTTTCTTCACAAACACTTTACTGGGTGATGGAAGGAAGAAATCCAGAAAACCTTTCTGTGATGCAGGTAGGAGTATTCACATCTCATACGCAACTAATAATTAATAAATTAACACACTGTATCTTGATCCCACCAGAGAGAAAGTGAAAAGAAATCTGTAAAATGCCGAATATAATCTGAAATGGGTAGATTAGCACTATCACAAATAGAACACGAGAAAACCATAAGTCATAACAGTCTCCCAATAAATAAATCCCCCATCACGAACAGATGCAAGCACAATCACAGCCTATCATGTGCATTCAAAGGCACAAAAACATAAAAAGAGACATGCGGGCAGAATCTGAGGGAGAGATACCTGTTATTGATGTCAGCAAATCATTGCAATTTAAACGGCTATCACATATTGAATCTAAAAGACTGACACCCCAATCACTGAAAATGAAAATTGCCTAATGTCAGCATGCGCTAATTAAATAAAATTACAAGAATGTAAGCAAGATGGAGGAGTAAAAGAAAGAACGCCTAACAATAAAACCTTCTCAAGTTGAGTTGATGAATACCCATAGCAAGGATCATCTGCACCACCCAATACTCATTACTCGTCACAAAGTTCAACTTACAGGCAAAACAAACAGAATGAGGTGACCGATACCTGATCAATGTGCATGTTCACCATTCTAAGTACAAAAGGTGCATCAACATGATCCAAGTAAGATATTGGAGATAGAAGAGCAGCAGCCTCAACTTTTTTTACTATATCTGGCTGGGTGAAGGCGGCCAAAGACATAATTGTCCCCTGAAGAGTGATATATTAAATGCATACTATGGCATGTACAAAACAGGTAAAGGATGATGTGCAACAATCAGTAATACCTGTGAATGTCCTACAACAAAGAGCTTTGAGTTTGTTACCGAGTGTATGTAATCAATCATTTCTGCAAGATCATACATGGCCAATTCCTGCCAACTCCAATCCCAAAATTCCTGCGAGAGAAACAGTGTTCTACTAGTCACATTGCACAATGGGCGTGACTCTGACCACACTAACCATTACACCTAAGATAACGAGATGGTGAAGAATGAAAATATTAAAATTTTTATAATAAGCAGTAAAAGATATAGCCAATGGTCTTTTGAAGATCAATGAGTAAGAAAATCTCATGGATGACAATTTGCTACTTTGCCATTGTGTCTTCCCTAATTCTGATTCTGATCATCATGAGATCTTAGTAGACCTAGAAACAAGAACTACAGAGTGAAATAAAAAGTAGTGTTCTGCTATTTCATTCCATCTCCACTGTTTATGATGAGCAATCATCAACTTCATTCATTATTCTACGTACCTTATCCTTTTCAGATAAAGATGTGTGCCCATAACTCCAGCGTGTTCCCCGCACATTTCCTACCCATAAGTCAAAACCTTGATCTGCTAGGATGAAGCCCAATGATTGTTCTGGAGTATTAAGAAACCATGCATCACCTGCCTGATCATATCTCAAAATTGACATTAATGAACAAATGTTGAGATTCAATCAAGTTATTCTTTCAATCTACATTTTAGACCCCTTCTACCTCCTAATGAAGGAAATATTATACATAATGTAAAAGTCTATCCCATAAAGGTCGCAAAGATAAGCACTAACCAAAATTCCATAAGCATATCCCGAAACAAGGAAATACTAAAGACTTGGAATGAATCACAAGATTGTAATAGCTTGCAACCACAATAGCATGTGAGATCAGATGACTCTAGAGAGGAATTCAGACTTCATTTAGAAGTATCACATATGGACGTAGAGTGTTATTGTAGAGCATGTTGTGTGGCTAATCCCGTGAATATATAGTTTTCTTTGCAGCACACTAGGAAAAAGAAAACATGTTAAAACATAATATGGCCACCAAAAAAATATGAAATCTCAGTGAGTAATGGAAAAATACAAAACAATGCAAAACAAATAGAAAGTCAAAACTTTTTAACGAAATATTGCTTCCTAATCCTAGCAACATGTTTAAAATTTATGACCAATCCAAGTGAAGTTCATAGTGTTTGCTACCATTTCATTCTGAAAAGTTTAAAATTCCAAAAGACGATCCATTTCAACCGAGTCATAAATTAGCTTGAAAAACAACCCTCCCTTCCTCCCCATTAGATTCTTTAGTTAAGAGAAAATTGGAAAAAGTTTCTTAATACTTCCACAAAACTCACTCCTTTACATTAAGAAATTAAAGGGACATCATATGCCATCCAGCATAACACACAGATATGCATAAAACAAATCTTTTATGCATTTGGCACATTTATCATTAATTTTCCTAAAGAACATATTATGAACCACTAAACATCTATGATTCAAAGAGTTGGTTTTTCATTCGCAATAATCAACCATTTCCTCTTCTAAAAAATTAGGCTGCGCTACCCTTTTAATTACACAATTGCATGTTATACGCATCAGCAAATTGAGTAACTGGTTTTCAGTTTTCACTTCTGTCTGGCCACGCCAAACTACAGCAAGTCATTGCAAGCAGCCACTTTTAAAGCTCTTCCGACCAATTCATAAACTATGCATGTGATGCTGACACGATTTCAACACCTCATCAACAGAAAACAAGTTGCCACATTCTAAGCATCAAGATCAGTTATATCGTCTTTTGTTATTGAGTTTATATTAAGAATTTATTGAGCAGGCATAACATGAAAGTTCACCATGAAGAGTCCATGTTGAAGCAGAACTGGAGGACCACGTTGTCCCGCATTATCAGGACGGGAAGACGAGATACGGTGAAGAGCCAGCAAGTAACCATCCTCCGTTTGAATCTGATGGTAAAAGACAAATTCCCATTAGGCAAGATCGATTCAATCTAGGGATAATGGAACAAGAGTATAATGACGGAGAGACGGAGAGAAGCAAGCAAAACCCATTTAAGCATGCGATTTCTGTAAATATTCTGCATATACGTTACGTTTTTCACTTCTAACAACAAAATTTTGGTAAAGAGAAACAAAAACTAGCTACGTTAAATTTCCACTCCTTCAACTTCAGAAATCAACATTACAAATTTCCGGAAGAATAAAAGTAGCTATTTCATCAAATTTATTATGTTCCACCAGTGATTAAAGTCTGAATTTTTTATCTTCCAGAGTGCCTGCACTCTCAAACTGCTGTAATAAATGTTCCTACCAAACAAACTATAGCTTGGAATAGAGAATCATGCAAGGGAAGTACAGTGATCTCGGAGCACGGGTAACCAGCAGGAACAATAAGATGAAGACATAAACTCTCGACCGGTAATCGGAGGAGGGCGTCGAAGTTTTCCGGCGAAGTCTCAACGGATTCTCCAAGGATAAGGAAGACAGCGGTGACTGCTGCCACTGCCGGCAACAACCTCGCCATCTGAGAGATTGAGTAAGTGGGAAGGAATGCTCCACATCTGCGGAGGCCGTGATCCTCTGAGCCTCATTGCCGGATCAATCGGAAAATAGGAGTGCCTTCGGATGACGGGTACAGTGCACGCGGTTGAGAGAGCGCGTGACTAGGGATAAGGCAAGCAACCGACCTGGCATCGTTTCATGGAGGGTTTTCTTTTCAGTCCAGTTTTCGCAATCTTGACCGTTGAAATGATCAAGTGACAGCTACTTAACTCCGGACTCCGGAGTCGTGTCAAGCGGTGCGTTTAAATTAATGAAAGCTGAAGAGCTTATCAGCATCGTCGGTCGAACGGATGCTCTTGATTCTTTCATGTCAATCCATTGAATTAGTAGATCAACTGGTTAAAAAATATATGGCAAATCAACTCAAGGAGACAGTCTTTGGATGAAAACTTCAGCATTCACTCAGCTTACAAATTTCTTCAAAACTATGAGAATCATCATTCTGCCCTGTTATGGAAAAAGATGTGGCGATAGTCAATTCTTGAAAAAATAAAACACTTTATGTGGCAAGTAAATCATGAGAGAACCCCTTCAAACTCCCTTAGAGTTAAAAAAGAATTAAGTGAGAATGGTTTGCGTCGTTTTGAGTGTAATAATAAGGAAACACCTTTAGATATTCTTCGCGATCATGAGATTGTTAAATCAGTGTGGTCTAATTTAATTAATCCTATATCTATACATTCTTTTTTCACATGTGATTTATAGGTTTGGTTAAATAGAAACAGTGAAAATGCTTTTGGTGGTATAGCTGTGAATATTTAGAAATGGTCCACAGTATTTAGCACCACTTGCTAGACATCATGGAAGAATAGATGCAAAGGACCAATTAAAGGGCAAAGGCTTAATGTAAATGAACTAATTTACATCCTCAAGCATCAACTCATAGAATAGGTGGACAATATGAGGCTTCAACACAGAATATTTCAAAACTACGAGGAGCCTGAAAACAAATGGAATCCTCCAATAGATGACTATCTTAAATTGGATGTGGATGGCTCAATTAATCAATGGAGACACACCACTGAAGGAGGTATACTTTTGGATACAATCAGTAATTAGGTCTTTGGATTCCAAAAGAGGTTTGGATATTATCCTCCTATTGGTGCTGAAATTCTAGCTTTGAAAGAGGGATTACACTTGTGTAAACAATTTAACATAACCAAGGTTCAATGTCACATGAATTCTTTAAAAGGTATACAACTGATCAAAAAGGGAGGAGAGATTAACCATCCAATGCGATTTGTTATTCAAGAAGTGAGAGATTTAATTTTTTGTGATTGTAGTGTGTAGAAATTATGTATTCACCAATGGAGGTGATTAGACTAGCAAATTGACTTGCTAAGGCAGCTCAAAATAGAGAGAATGAGTTTAGCATTTGGTATAAACCTCTAGTGAAATGTTATGACATATATTGGTCAGACAAGATAATGTAATTCTTCTCTAGGTTTAATCCTATCCTTTTGTAATAAAAAAAAAAACTCAAGGGATTCTCTCTCGCATTTGGTATAAACCTCTAGTGGAATGTTATGACCTATATTGGTCGGACAAGATAATGTAGTTCTTCTCTAGGTTTAATCCTATCCTTTTGTAATAAAAAAAAAACTCAAGAGATTCTCTCTGAGTGAGAGAGAGAGAGAGAGAGAGAGTTGTGAAACTATAAAAATACACTATTTAATTTAACCCTCAACTTATCATAATTTAGCTAAATTCATTTGATCACTGTTATTATTAAAAAAAACAGAGCTGAAGAAAAATGTTTCCTTTCACAATTGAATTGAACAATAAATAATTTGATTCATAATTTACTCTAGAAATTTTTTAGAACAAATTTTTTTTATTTAATTTAGTATAATCCAAAATTATCTTATTTTAATTATGATTCAATTTTATATTTGAACTTATCCCATAAAATAATTATTAGCACATTTTGACCATAAATGTAATTTTTTCTCTTTATTATCAGAAAACCGAGTATAATCATTTATAAAGAAAAGTAGAAAACAAACATATGCATGATACATCAACACGCTCCTCCATTTCATATTTCTTTTGCACTTGGTATGATATAAAACTCAAGGGAAAGTTGTGGAGATTTTCTCTAAAGCATGCTAGATGAATAAAAATAAAAATTTAAAATTTTGATAATCTATGTCGAGATAATCTAGTATTCCATATACAAGCTTGAATACGTGATACAAGTTGTTTAAGTTTAGGGATCATCTTTGATGCTTAGCATTGGTGCTCATCGTCCATGCACATTGTTTCATAAAAGAAAAAAAATCTTGGTCATCCGTTACATGTTAATGTTAGCCGTTAATTATTTTTATCTCATTAAACTTTGATAAAACAAGGATGTTTAGGTTCCCCAACTCTATTTGAAACCTTGGACCGTTCGCTCTCTTACTTTGTTGGGCTGTGTTGGCCATCAACGGTGCTCTTTTGCTCCTTTAACCTTCAACAATGCTTTCTTGCTCTGTCGGCCATCTTCATCTTCATCATCAAGTGCGGCTGGTAAACCACTACTTATTCTTCCATTTTCCTGTTGATGGGATTCTGACTATTAAAATGGTCTCCAAGAAATTACATATTTGCTTTATCATAGATGTTTTAGTGGCTGCAAGAGTTTTATCTTCTAAAAGAAATCCTTTTCTCATTATCATAAAAGATTATTGGCAAATTGTGTGTCAATATTTTGATTTATCACATGGTTGAGCTTTATGAATCACATCCAAATTGTGAAATAATACTTTTAATTTTTTTTCATATTTTAATCATGATTTGAGGAAAATCAATATTGATAACTCGAAACAATTCACAACATTGATATTTCTAAAAGAATAGTTCACACACATTACGTGAAACTAATATTGATATTTTTAATTATTGGAAGAATTCTTGCACTCGAGCACTATAATTATGCAAATATAAAAAAAAACATAACTCCTTTCCCTCTATTTTTTTAAATATATGGTTTCACTCAGTGTAGTTACATCTTTCAACTTTAGTTAATACAAATCTCACAACTTTAATTTTTTGGCACTGGCATTATGGTCTCTTTCTTTGAATATAGAGTTCTAAAGACCTTTTCATTAGTAATTATTTTCCATTATTACACTATCTTCCTACTGTTGCCTTTAACACTGTCTCAACACAAATTTGTAAACAGGTTGCTCAAGAGTCACATAATTAATATTTAGAAAATACACATGCAAGATGCAACAGTAGAAAAAGTGTAGTTGAAAACTTATGAATTATTTCATAAACATCTATCTTGAAATTAAGAATAGCAAGTATCATGGGACAAAACACTTGTAATAGGCAATAACACAAGATTAGCTCACAATTAAATGTCTATTAGCAACACTCTATTTTATCAAAGGTCTAGTGTGTAAGAACTAAGAGACAAACTGTAAGGTCTCCCTTACCAATCCTTTCTATAACTCCAAATCATGGCAACCAAGGACTTAACCCTCAAAGGATTACTAAATTATAAAATTTCACAAAAAGAAAATTTCTCCAATTCTTTTTTTTTTGAAAAGAGTCTCAAATTCAACATTTTGAATCTCAAATATTATTTAATAGTCTCAATCAAAGTTTTAAAAGTAAAGCGGAGGCTTGGAAGTCAATTGAGACCTAAAATCGTGAGTTTTAAAACTCAAAAACAGATTTTGTACAGAAAATGACACGTGCGCTGCGGCTTATGGCATGTATGTCACAGCTTGTCTTCTTTATGCCATGCATCACGGCATGAGGCGCCATGCGCCACAGCACATTACATGAATTTGACAGCATCAGTGCTGTCATTTGACAGCATAGGAAGCGAACTTCCAATGCGTTCCAAATCTTTGTTCGATGTTCGATTGAGGTGGTTTCAGTGTCTATATGGAGTTTTCTCCTAAATCTAGCTAACGGTATTAGTTTTACACTCAAACTCATTTTTCTTAAGAAATTGGATATCAAAACCCATTTTGATTACTTTTTTTTTTACAAATTTCACAAATGGGTGTCACAACTCAAACAATTATGCCCATAGCTCACACCAACCATCCGACCCTACTCAATAGACTCTCGTGAACCAATGCAACGTATCACATACAAATAAACACTCTCATATCATAAAATCACCACTCAACCTCAATTTTCACAAAACATTTAAGGGGAGAGAATGTTGCACAAAATTATCAATTTTATTTCAAATCTTTCAAAATACATATGTTTCTACTTACATAAGTATTTTAGCCCTATCCACAGTTTTACAACTAAAACTCATTAACTTGGGTATAAAATACACAAATGATACACGAAATCATGTAAGTAGTGCATAAAACATGTCAAATAATCCTAGTTAGCAATTACATCAACAAATACACATAAAAGTAACAAAAAGAGGTATAAGAGGATTACCCCACAATCTTAGGCTTTTGTGTGTTTTTTCCAATTCGGATCTGATAAGTAGGTCCTGAAAATATTAAGAATTGAGGGGTGAGTGTGACCACTTAGTAACCAAGTTTCACTTAACCTATACAATTGTATATCAATTGTAAATAGATGCAAATGAATAAATAAGCAAATATCACAAATAAACACTCAGCTACGGTTCATAAAACTAACAACTATGTTATCGGGTTTACCATGACACACTTTATCATGTTATTTCACAAAACATAACACGGGGTCACAAAAATAACAACCATGTGCCCTTAACACATACTAGATCATAAAACTAACAACCATGTGGCCAGACTTATGTGCATAATCACATGCCAACCTTATATCCTCTTGTTACCTCCAACACAAAACCGATGGTTATCACGTGACTACATCCTTCACGAACTAACCTAACCTTCTACTTGTAAGGAGCTACTAGGCCAAGGTTAATTCACTCACTTATGTAATCTGGTTTCTCTTAATACTAATAACCATGGGGTATCATACCCCTAATCTAGCCTCCTCATGAATTGATGGAGATTAGTTAGGTTTAAGTCTCTCGTAAAACAAGTAGGACAGTTTCGAATCAACCATGAGACAAGGGCTA